ATATGTAACTATCAACAAGTGAATCTAAAAACCAAGGGAATTAAAAAATCTGATGAACAATATTAACTGGTGACCATTATAAAATCAGAGGTATGGAAGGGGAGTGAAATGACAATTCTCGGGGAAAAGGGGAGCGGGGGGTGCAGGAAGAGACTGAACATAAACTGTGCACTATGGATGAGGACAATGGGGGGTGGGGAAAGGGCAAAGGGTGAGGTGGGGACCTGGTGGAGGGAAGCAATGGAGGGGGAAAAAATGAGGAACATTTGCAATAATATGAACAATAAAGATTTTAAATAAATAAATAAATAAATAAAGTGGAAACTTAAAAAAAAAAATGTAGTGGGCATCCCCAAACTTAAACTGCAATTAGTGTCTTTTTCACTCATAATAATTTTCTTTGCTTAGTTGAAAGTTTTTGAAAAATTAAATTGTTTTGTTCTATTTACTGTCTGTAAAATTGGTTGTAATAGAGCCCATTTTATTTATAGTCATCTAGGTATCTCAAACTTAGCCTGTCCAAAATTGTGCTATCCTTCCTCCAAAAAATTTCCTCCAAAGTTGCCAGTTGATGACAATCCCATCCTTTCAGTTGTTCAGGCCAAAGGTCTCTAGAGTCAAGGATTTTTGAGTCCTCGCTTTTTCTCTCAGACCTCACATTTAATCTATCAGGAAATCTACTTTTAATATATACCTGGAATCCAACCCTTTCACTATCTCCTTCTAAGCACTGTTATCTCTTGCCTGAATTTTCACAATAGCCTCCTGACTTTTCTACTCTTCTACTTCTACCCATCTCCCTTAAATTCTCAACACAGCAGCCAGAGTGAGGAGGCCATTGGGGTTTATGTTGTATGTCCCTCCTGTGGCCAGAACTCTGCAGTGTCTTCTCATTTCACTCATTTCAAAATCTATAGAAAGTTGTGATATCAGGCCCTGCCTCTGATCTAAATCCCTGCTCTTCTGTGCTAGCCCTTTTGGGTTCAGTCACATTAGTCTCCACTGGTCTTCAGCTTTTGCTGTACATGATAGAATGCTTTTCCTTAACTCCCTCAACTTCAAGTCTTGGTCAAATCAGAATTTCTCAGAGAGGCCTCCTTTACACACCCTACTTAATACAGTCTGCTCTTTTCCCTCCAGTCCCTACACTTCTGATCCCTTCTGTCTTATTCTTTTAACCTTCCCCCCCTTTTTTTCTTAGCACTTACCATCTTGTGATGATGATATATGGCTTACTTGCTATGTTTTTCCCCCCCTTTTGTTCATTGATATGATCAAGTGCATAGAGCTTAATAGGAATTAAATATTTGTTGAATTAATGAAAAAGTAAGCTTAAAAACAGCAACAACCCTGTACAGATAGCTCAGTTGGTTAGAAAATCATCCCCATATGCCAAGGTTTGGGGTTTGATCTCTGGTCAAGGCATATACAAGAATCAACCAATGAATACCTAAATAACTGGAACAAGTTGATGTTTCTCTCCCCTTCCCCCGCCCCTCAAGCAATAAATAAATGTTTTGTTTTTAATCCTGTATAATATAGATGTGTACGATTTCTCGAGGATATATATTTTGGAAATGTCAGGTTCTTAATGGTTGTGTTAATTACATTTCCTTTAAAATGTATACTTTTCACATTTAGACCTCACATTGCTTCATATCCTCACTGATACTTAGTATTGTCACATTTAAAATTTTTGGTTAATCTGTTGGGGTTACTGTGATATCATATTGTGGTTCTAATTTGCATTTCCATAGTTAGCAGTGTATGGATAATCACCATTATGTAAATATCACACTTACTATTTCTCCTATTCATGTCCTTTGGGCTTCAGGGGAAATTAGTAGTAATTCAAGATCTTGAGTTTTAGTCATAGTGAACTGGATGTGCTGATAGGACATCTAGGAGATGTTCAGAACACATTTCAAAATGTTTACACCCTCCGTAGTGTAAAAGAAAGGTCAGATATGGTGAGAGGAAAAGAGGAGTCATTTTCTTTTTTTTTAAATTAAATTTATTGGGGTAACATTGCTCACTAGGATAAAAAGTATGCACGATTTTCCTCTAAGACAGTATATTGTGACACTTCAGCCATTCATGGGCCATCTTGGTATTTTTGTAGCACTTATGCTCTTTTAAAAAAAAACTATTTTAAATCCTCACCCAACGATGTTTTTATTGATTTTTTTTTTTTTTTAAGAAGAAGTGAGAGAGAAAAAAAAAATCCCAAAACATCTATGTGAGAAAGAAACACTAATCTCTTACCTCTGGTATGCCCCTAGGTGGGGAAACAAACCCATAACTTTTTAGTGTAGGGGATGACAGTTCAACCCTCTGAGCCACCAGTCAGGGTGGCATTTGTGCTCTTTTATTTAATACTAGAGGCCCAGTGCACAGAATTCATGCACTATGGTTCCCCTCAGCCCAACTGCACCCTGTCCAATCCAGGATCCCTCGGGGGATGTCCAACTGTCGGTTTAGGCCTGATTCTGGTGACTGGGCCTAAATCGGCAGTTGTACATTTCTCGAGGGATTCAGGAACACTGACTTCTAACTGCTCACCTGCCTGCCTGCCTGATCGCCCCTAATTTTTCCCCTGTTGGCATGGTCACCCCCAACTGCCCCACTGCCAGTCTGGTTGCCCCTAACTTACCCCCTGCTAGCCTGGTCACCCCCAACTGCCCCCCATCATTCTGGTCACCCCCAGCTCCCCCACTTCCTGTGGACCTGATTGCCCCATGCAGCCTTCCATTTGGTCATTTGGTCACCCCTCCCTGACCACCCCTGTTGGCCTGGTAGCCCCACGCAACCTGCTGCTCAGTTGTTTGGCCTCCCCTCACTAACCCCACTGCCGGCCTGGTCACCTCACATAGTCAGTTCGATCGTCCGTTCGGTTGTGATGGTCGCTTAGGCTTTTAAATATATAGATATGTATATTTACTAATTTACTAAACATTTGGATGATCTCCCTTGCTTAAGTAGATGCTTCCTCTGTGCTTCTAACATAACTGTGTATCCAATGCCCACCTTTATCCATGTAATTAAACTGTCTCCGCTCGAGACTATGAGCCCTTGTTGACTCAGTTAGTTAGTTCCTTCATATATTCCACAAATGTGCCACAAGCACTGTGCAGAGAGTTACTGGGAATGCAGTTGTGATCAAAACAGACATGTACCTACCCTTACAGAACGCCAGCCTTGTGGGGGAGAAAGCTTTACATCTGAAATGTAATTGATATTTTATTGCTGCTCTATTATTTAATACTACTTAAAGCTAATTAATAATCATAACAATACGAGCACTCTGAGCGAAAGTACACATTGTTAATTATGAAACAGTTTAAGAGATAGAGGTAATTGAGATGGGAAAGGTCAGTGGAGTCACTCTGAGAACCTGACTGGCTGGAACTCATCATTTTATTTGAAACTTTCAAGCATTTGACAGTGCCTGGGAACAAAACAAATAAGAAATGTTTACTGAGTAAACTCAAGATTTGGGTGAGTTATTTTATAACAATCTTTGCAAACAGAATTATAAAGACCATATTTACTTCCTTTGAATATTCTAGTCATGAATGTTGAAATTACTCCTAATGATGAAACTGTTTTTTTTTTGGTGGGGTGTTATCCTGGTTTACTATCTTGGTATGTATTTATTCTACACAGGAAATTTTTCCTTAAGATGAACAAATATCGCACTTATGTAAGCCTTCTCCTTCCCAATAGATACTATATCAACCCTTCCCCCAAGAATATCTTAGAAAATAATATCATGTTTATAAATAATATAATTTTTCCATTGGAATTTTCTTCTCATTTGTATTTTTTTACACCACCCTTTTCTTTTTTTAATTTTTTTTTTTTTCATTTTTTAATTAAGGTATTATAGGTGTACATATCTTACTATTGGCCCTCCCTTCCTACTCCACTCCCATACATGCCCTCACCCTTCAGTGTTTTGTGTCCATTCTCATTTGTATTGAAAGGGAATGAGATGAATTGTTACACCTGTAGTTCACTGTGATATACATTTTTGTCTCTTCTCTGTATGAATTGATAACTCGCACAGACATGATAAGATCTAGGCCAATGAGCATCAGGCAACCAACCGTCAACTGAGTTTATAAAAGAGATGAAAGGACAGAAAACCAGGGTAACCAGCTCAGGGAAATTGGGGCATGTGATTCGGAAGAGACACGATTCCCCAGCCTTCTTCCAGAAGTTAGGAGAAAGGTTTTTGTTGTTTGTTTCTTTGTTTTTATTTGTTTAATTCTCACCAAAGGATAGAAGGGAAACCTTGATTTGAGAAACATTGATTGGTTGCCTCCAATGTACCCTAACTGGACATTGAACCCACAACTAGGTATGTGTCCCGATCAAGAATGTACATCTTTTAATGTACAGAAGATGCTCCAACCAGCTCCAAGCCCTGGCCGGTGTTGCTCAGTGGTTAGAGTGTTGGCCCATGCACTGATCATTTTTATCTAAGATCAAATGAGATAAGATGCTTTTGTTAAATGGGAAGATGCTGTAGTAATACAACATTACTGTTTGTTGCTGTTGTTTTGTTGGCTTTTATGTTTAACTTATTGGTCTGGATTCAGGCATATTTGTTATTCACCGTTATTAAAAATGTGTTTTGTAAGCAAGCAATATGTCTCTAGGAATTAGTTTCAAATTTAGCACTCTTTTCTCTGATTAGATAAATAACTGCTATGTTATCTCCAATAGTATTGGAATGCCATGGTCCTCTGTAGACCCCTAATAATACCATTTTTCAAAAGACCTAAAATGAAAATGAACCACTTGAATCTTGGAAATGAAATTTCTATAGGACACAGAGCCAAGATAGATAGACATCCCTCATTAAGTTTCAATACAACATTGACAGACCTTTTTATAAAAGTTTGATAATGCTGAAGAGTTTTGCACCCAGGACTCCAGATTTTGCTTTGTTTTTGTTAAGGAAATACTGAATTCTATTAATTCTTTTTCTACAGTGCCTCCAAAGCCATTACATCTGCAGCACTCACCTTTGTCCAGTATACACCCAGCCCCTAAGCATAAAGCTTTATCTAGTACAGCACCCAGGATGGAGGAAGTTAAACCTGCCTCTGCTTCTTGTGTCTCAAAAGAAAAATCCAGTAAAATATCAGATCTCATCAGTCGCTTTGAAGGAGGCAGGTAAGAGCTAATTCACAATGGGAGAAGGCAGAGGGGAGACGGAAGCTGAGTTTTGAAAAAGATGATCGAGTCATAAGTTTTCCAAGTCCAACATACATCATCTTCTGTCGGGTTTGGTAGGCCTTTAGAAAGAGTGGATTTTAAATGCATTTAATCTTGCCCTCATATAAACTGTCATGGACTGTTTGTTATCTGTGTGCAGCACTAATAGCACCCGCTTCTTCACATTGTGTGCTTTGTATGTTATGGGGATGCCCTCTCATGGCCTTGATGTCTGTGTGTGTTCTTGGGGCCATTGTGTTGGCCACTGGCTATTGGGTTGGAAAGGCAGGAGGTTGTCTCTATCTCTGTTTCTTGCTTTGTATGTTTATGGATGTGACTCCAGGGGGCCTGTCCCATCTCTGTAGGCTTCTTTCTGATGCACTGTATTTAATGTGGGTTTTCTGTATCCATTCAGTATTTGTTTCCCCTCTCCACACACCCCTGTTCTTATTATATACTAGGTATTGTGAAGAGATATCGACAATTGATATAGTTTTATATTCTTTAGTTCTAATGTTTCAAAAAATGGTAGGTGAGATACTGTATATTTCTCAAAGAAGAAAAACCCACCAAAAAAAATTAACATAAGCCGAGACCGGTTTGGCTCAATGGATAGAGCGTCGGCTTGGGGACTGAAGGGTCCCGGGTTCAATTCCGGGACATGTACCTTGGGCATGTACCTTGGTTGAGGGCATATCCCCAGTAGGGGTGTGCAAGAGGCAGCTGATCGATGACTCTCTCTCATCGATGTTTCTAACTCTCTCTCTCTCTCTTCCTCTCTACAAAATCAATAAAATATATTTTAAAAAAAATAACATAAGTTGCTTTTCTACTTATAGGACCTCAATTTTTTTTATTTGTTTGTTTGTTTATTTTTAGAATTCCCATCACTGACAAATAGAGTTTTGGGAAAATTTTATCAGAAGCATTTTGTTATTTATGCCACCAAAAGACTGTGTATAATTTAACAGAATATGTATAAGTTTACTCTCATTCTTGAAGCCACTAATTTCCATTAAATCCAGTGTAATATTTGGAAGTATTAGGTGGTTTTATTGTTTGCAGGATTTATTGTTATAGATGTAATGAACCAAAGTTTGGAAATGCTTTCAAAATCTTCTGGAAATTGTGACCCATTACAAAGCGGCTGTGTCCCTCATTTAAAATGAGACTATATTTAGTTAACAAGTTCTGGAGAAAGTTCAGAAGCCTGTCTTCAATTTTCATTCCCCGTCAATTGTGGGCACCTGAGTAATGAATATTTAAATTTCAACATCTCCACCTCGGAAGTAGGATTTTTTAATAGTTTTACTATCTTAAATTATAAGATATAATAAATGATTTAATTCCACTTAAAGATTTTGTTTCCCAGAACAAGTTAGAGCATGACCCCTCCTATTTACATGTTTCAAGGGCCATGCCTATGACAATAACATAGTGGGGCCCTGGAGCCCTGGCCCTGTTCACAGTGCGTGCCAGGACCCGAATCCCCTCAGGGGGTCAGTGTTCCAAAGGTTGTGTCCTCTAAACCTCACAAATCCGGTCACCCACGCTTTGCATTCCTCTCCATATGCAAAAGGTACACCGTGTTCCCACTCATTGACGCCAGTTTTCTTTTACTCAGACCTCACAGATACAAACTCAACATTTTGATGCAAAGCTAGAAGGTTGGATCTCAAGAGAGATGTGCTGTAACTTATGACATTTTAAGAAAACTTGTTCTAAGTGAAGCTAGGATATCACGTGAGCATTTTGGCAAATCTGCTGAAGGACCGTTACTTGTGGTCACGCCCACTGCCAATACGAAATAACTGTACGTTCCTAGTGAGATGTTCTGAGTAGAAACTGACCCTAGAAGTGCCTGAGGGGTTAGTACTGCATTGGGTCTACGGGGCTTGAATGGGAAGTTCGTGTTTCCTGTCCACTGGTGTCCATGTGCCTGCAGGATAGCTATCAGGTTACTGGATACCCCAGTTATTACAGCTTGAACGGCACCCTGTGGAACAGAGGGAGATTCGCGGGCTGTGCGTCACCACAGTCGATTGATTGACAGGAAGAACTGATGTCTGCTGCAGTGGCATCATGGAAGACCAGTTCCACCTGTTAATACCTTACCCATGTAGCTGAGTTTCACTCTTCACAATAATCTAGATAGCTCTGTTTTATTAGGATAAGTGACATAAAGGAGGTATTTGAAACAAGTGAAATTTTACTTTTCACTGTAGTTAGGTATATTTTTTTCTTATTGGAGAGTAAAAGAAACTACAGTCTTTTTAACCTATGACATATTTCAGGATTTTAGAAATAAGTAACATTTTCCCACAAAACCAAACATTGTTTTTTTGTGTGTGTGTTTTTGTTTGTTTGTTTGTTTGTTGTTTGCTTGTATCAAGGACACTGCTAGGCCAACCGTTTTTTCTCCAAAGCATCAGGAATCTCCTACGTACTAACCACTGCTTTTACTAACCGCGCGCTCCCCCCACTCCCCGCCGCCACCACCACCACCACCTCATCCCTTACCCCATTCCCCCCACATATCCGTGGGATGTCACTTATTGCAGGAAATTCCCTCCTGTCATCCACTGCAGTCCTTTCCAGAAATCCTAAGCAAACACAAAGCTTGCTACAGAGGATCTTCTGAGGGTCTTTCTACCGGGTTGCTGGTGGCTTATATGGTCAGAAAAAGGAGCACAGTTCGATCCAGTTCTCTAAGCACCGTTTGGGGACTTATTAAGGCCAAGGGTATTCTTCATAGAAGACAACTTGCATTGATGGAGTGTGTCACATTTATTTATTTTGATAACCTCCAACATTTACGTAAATGACATGCTCTCCTACCAGTATGTTCCTTCCTGTGGAGCTGAGACTGACCATGTCTTCTTTCCTCCTTACTACCTCTTGTCTATTGCTATTCCCTGTTCCATTTTCCAGTCCAAATCAGCGGTGTCTAGAAGGAGTAGAGCGAGGGGAGACAGGGATCCACATCCCAGCATCATCCATGGCCCTTGCTGCTGTGCCTTCCCCCCCGCCCCCCCCCCATCTTTACCCTCTGATGTCTTCCTATGCTGGGGAGGATGCGAGCCCTGGGCTGTCTTCCCACATTTGCATGCAGCCTACTCACCTGCTCCTCACTCCCTCCTTCATGGCCCAACGCATTTATTATAATAAATGTGGGGTTAAGGCTGTGGGATTTAGCATCAGACTTCATGGTCTGAACCCTGGCCTTCTCATGTGTCAGCCATGTGACATTGCCACATTGTGTAAGTTTCAAAGCCTGCATTTATGGGGTCCCTACTTTGGAAATATTATGAGGATGAAACAGGATAATTCATTGTGAAGGGCTTGGTGTAGGTTTTGGCACTTAATAAATGTTAGCTGCTAATATTGAATTGGTGCCATGATCATCATCATGACCACAGTTATTTATTACTCACTGAGTACTTGTTGAACACTTTTCATATGGCAAGTGCTGGGCTAAGGAGTCGGGATAGCATGGAGAACAGGACTGCACCCTCTTGGAGCATTAGTCTAAATGTATCTTTATTCCTTATTAGGTCATAGGAATCTCTCCAAGACTGCAACCTAGAATTTTATGTTTTTCCTCCCTGGAATCCTAGGTTAATATGCTATACAAATATCCCCATAGGAATATTGAAATACACTGAGTGGCCAGATTATTATGATTTCTGAATGTGTAATAATCTGGCCACTCAGTATATATCCTATATAATAAAAGGCTGATATGCAAATTGTCCCCTTGACCAGGAGTTCGACCAACAAGCAGGCTGGCCAACCACCCATGTCCCCTCCTCCTGGCCAAGCTGGCTGGATCCCACCCATGCACATGCACACATTCATGCACCGGGCTCCTCTAATACACACACACACACTCACACACACACACACACACTCACACACACACACACACACACACACACACTCACACACACACACTCACACACACACACACACACACTCACACACACACACACACACACTGAGTGGCCAGATTATTATGAGTTCAGAGATCATAATAACCTGGCCACTCAGTGTATATTGGCAATTAGGTTCCATCATACTTTTGTGGTTCTTTACAGTGGTAAGTAATAATAAGGGCTTTAAAGAAAATGAAAATAACATGTGGTGGAGTGTGCTGTCATAGAGAGAACCATCCAGGAGGTGACATCTGAGCAGGACCCTGATGGTGGACAGGAGGAAGCCAGCCAGTGTCTTAGGGGAGGAGGTCCTGGGCAGAGAGAACAGCAGCGCAGAGACCCTTAGAGGTGTGTGTTCACTTATTGGGAGGTGGGGGGACAGCGAGGAGACAGGAATGACAAGAGCATGGGAGTGAGGAGGGATGGAATTTAATGAGGCCAGGCTAGCAGAGTATATGCAGAATCTCCAGGGCCATGGTCAGGGTGCCAGATTGACTTTTAAGCGTGTGGGGAAGCCCATACTGAGTGTGATCTCTGGCTGACTTAGACTAGATTGCAGGGACCGGGCATGGGAGTGGAAAGATCGGTTAGGAGGCGATGGCAGCATGTGTAATCAAGTTTTTGAGATGTGTTTCGCTTTCCAAACAAACATAACTTTTGGTTTCTAACCTTCTCGTACATTGAGGACCGGCTCTATTTATTTTTAAAATGTTAAAGAAAGTAGAAGTCTTGGCAAAAGATGGTTTTATAGATATAAGTATTTCTCATATTTAAGTCTCTACTACCTAGCAATATTGATGAACAGCCCGAGAAAATGTTTCAGCCCTTATAGATAATGGTCAGGCCTGTCACCTTTATGTAAATGTCCCTTGAAGTGCAGAGAGCATTGCCAGAGACTGAAAACTATACTGGAATATTCTTACCTGTGTTTCTAAAACCATCAGAAGGGGAAATGTCTTTACTCACTATCCCTTTCTGCTGGAGTAAGTTTGTTTTTATTCTAGAGCTGGTCCATGCCAGTGTTCTCACACTTCCTCTGTATTTTGTCTTTCAGCACATTATCAAGTTACGGCGACTTGAAGAAAAATTCAGCTGTGAACCTAAACGCTCCTAGAACCGCGGGAAGGCATGGATTGACAACCGCACCTCAGCAAAAGCTCCCCTCCCGGCACCTACCGCAGAAGCGGGGAAATGATCTAGAGCCATCTCAGGGTGTACACACTTGCGTGGCTAACGGTGTGATGGAGGCACAGAACCAGGTGGAATGCAAGGAGGATAAAGTGGCCGCTGGTATCCCAGATGCTCCTGTACAAACTGCTGAACCCTTGCTGGACAGGAACTTAGTGAATGGAGCAGGAGGCGAGAGCACCTCGGGCCCCGCCTCACCCACAGCAAATGACTGCGAGGGAAATGCTTCTGACAGCAGCTGCAGGACTCCCAGTGTGGGCCCAGCCCTCCCCCTGGACGAAGACAAGGCAGACTCAGACGCCACGACTCAAGAGAAGGAAAACGGAGAAAGCCCTTCGGAACTGGACCAGCTGGACCAGCACCAGGAGATGAAGGTAAGGCATGAGACCAGCTCTTAAGTAGGAGGGAGCACTGATCATTTAAAAAGAATCATTATTTTTAAAAAATACGTTTTTATTGATATGAGAGAAAGAGGAAAAAAGAGAGAGAGAAACATTGATGAGAGAGAATCATTTATTGGCTGCCTCCTGCACACCTCATTACTGGTAATGAGATCAAGCCCACAACCTGGGCATGTGCCCTGACTGGGAATCGGACCGTGATCTCCTGGTTCATAGGTCGATGCTCCGCCACCGTTTTAAAACTCTGTTTCATAGCACCCGTGAAATGAATGAGTCAGATCACCTTCTGCCCCAAGGAGATAGTTTTCTAGCTCTCGCTGGTAGCGGGTGTTTCCCCTACTTTCTGTAGGTTCTGCCCACCTGTTGTGATTTCAGGATTCAGAGGAGTGTGACGACTTTGATACAGGCAAACCACAACCTCGCTTTTGTTTACATAGGAAGAAAATGTTCTTCGTTGCTAGGTGTTAGGGATGCACCCCTAATATTGATGGTCTAAGCAAGAGGAAATTGCATAATCTTTGCTTTTCAGACATTTCTAATAAAATAAAAGACATAGACTTGGAAGATTAACATGTACTAGCAAATGTGTCTTGTAAGGACAGGAATATGGAAGTAGTCACAAATTAGCCAATAGCTGTCTGTAACTCTTTCCAGGCTTCTGAACTGTTTTATGTTTGTTTGTTTGTTTGTTTAATCTAATTGACACACAATTTTGTAATTAGAAGACTCCTTAAAAATTGCCTGAGCCAGCAATTCATTTATAGAAGTAGAAACAGTCCCAGAAAGCTGAAGTGATTTTCCAGGGTTATAATAATAGCCGAGACCCCTTGTGCCCTGATTCCCAGGCCAGTGTTATATCCCGGATGCCATGAGTCACAAACAAAAATGCCAAAATGTGGGAAATGTCTTTGAGTGCAGCAGCCATGAGTGATTTACTCTCGGGGGGTGAGACCGTGGCCTACTGGACATTGGTACCCTTTCTAAAGAGTCCTGTGAACCACCCGAGTGGCACTTCTGCCCTTGTGCCAGCAGAGAGCTGACTTGGTGAAATGTGCTCATCATTAACCTGTGCTATCGCAGAAACTTTGATACAATTGCAGTGGTAAGACCGTTGCATTTGTATTCTTTATCCATGTCAGTGTAGTGCTTCTGAAATATAGTAATAAGTAATGGCTTTTACAAAGTATTTGGAATTTCTTGGATTAGAAGTGCCATGGAGGCATCACTGTAGATGCTGGAATAGAAAGTTGTTTACATCTTTGAAGACAAGAAAAATGTCTCCACTGCTTAGTCTCTCATCAGTTTTAAATAACAATCTAGGTAGGAGAGTTGAGAGTTGAAAATTTGATAATTCTATCAAAATTTGTAAGTGACAAATCCAAGTCCTACATCTGTATACTTTTTTTTTTTTAATGGTGCTATATTTTAACTGGCATTAACATAGGCAGAAATTCAAAAGGACTGATACTAAAATATTAGACCTTTAAAGTGAACTCCACCTTATGGTACAATTTTCACTGCCCCTGAAACAAAAGACAATTCCAAAAAGGAGCCACTGGTTTATTTTCTCGAGGTTTGGGGAATTGATTTTTAAATGCTGACTTTCAAGCAAGGAAAGTTCAGAGGAGGAAGTGGGTGGGGAAAAGTGAGTCATACTTGGTGACATCTGAAACAGGACATTGCAAAGTGACTCTCTCCACTTCAAGCACACTGTCTTTGCTTGAACCATGGTGCATGGAAGAGAAGGTTAGAATCAAGAAACTAAAAACTCAGTCAGCTGTCCTTTTACCGCCGGGAGGATGCCACCGGCAAGTATTTATAAAACAGTAAGAATCATTCTTTTTTATTTTATTTTAATATATTTTATTGATTTTTTTACAGGAAGGAAGGAAGAGAGATAGTTAGAAATATCAATGAAAGAGAAACATTAATCAGCTGCCTCCTGCACACCCCCTACTGGGTATGTGCCTGCAACCAAGCTACCTGCCTTTGACCGGAATCAAACCTGGGACCATTGAGTTTGCAGGCCAGCGCTCTGTCCACTGAGCCAAACTGGTTAGGGCAGAGCCATTCTTATTAAGGGAAATATTTTAGTTGGTAATGATGCCTGTGGTTGCTGGGTACTACACTCCTCCCTCCCCCATCCCCACTATCATACAATATTATGTGTCCATTTTCAGAGATCAGTTTGGGAGAGACTTAATCAGGCTTCTGTATTAAATGAGTGAAATCTAAGAGTACAGCTGGCCTTCCTCCTAAATGGGAATGTAAAGTAGTGGATGGCATGTGCTCTGTGTGGGAAGAAAATAATTTTTTTTCTCTGCAGAGCTGTAGATCTGAACACCACATGTCTCCCATCCGGAAAAGAGTCTTAGGATTTAATTTCTACGTGGTGACCATGTGCTCCTCTTTGCTGCTCTGATGCTTGTCGCATTGCCTTTCCTTGTTCCAAAGGACAAACATAAATGTTAGTAGTGTTAGGATGGTAACTTTTATATTACGTACATTTTACTGTAATTAAGCATGAAACAGAAATCTTAATTTAGCAGTATAGAGTGAACCAAACAACCAGAACCAGGAAATCTGGAGGCGGCTTCTGGCTTGTCCACTCACTGATGGTATGACTTTCAACAAGTCAGTTTTTTGTGCCTTTAGTTAAAGGCTATAAACTGAGGATGATCTTAAGGCCCTTTTCAGTGGTTACAGCATCTAAGTATAATAGGTACGTTCCTTTGTTAGCACTGCCCTCCAGGCAAGCATACTTGAGGAGGCTGCAGGGGTGGTGGGGAGAGGAAGAGGGTGAGGAGTTGGAGTTAAAATAGTATTAGAATTTCTGATTGGCATGACAAATTTGTGTTAATCAGACGAGATCGGGCGCATTCAGGGTGGTATGGCCGTAGACAAATTTGTGTTAATCAAAAGTAGCTTAATTAGGAGACTCAGGTAAATGAGTCAATACATTTTAGAATGAATGTTATTAAAAATGGTCACCCTTTCTCAAGACTTGTGGGCTTTGGTGGGTCAGCTTTAGTAGCTATGTACTGATGTGGAATGCTATATAGATGTAACCTTCTCTTTCGTTTGTATGAGCTTTCTAATACCTAATTATATACTTTAATGTATTTGTATACTTTTTCTGATATTTATTGTTTCCCTCTATAAATTTATACTATAGGTCAAATATAAACATGTGTCGATATAAGCTTTTTAAGACTAAAGTTTAAATAAATAACAAATCTCTATTACCGGCAGCATAAGCTCAAAGTAGCAACATTGAATCTAAAAATAACAAGGTGTTTTTTTTTTAAGACTGTAACAAGCAGTTTTGTTTTTTTAAGTCAGAATAATATTATTATGTAGAGTTAAAATACCCACTGGGATGGTTTCCTACCTCATAAAATCTAATACCGAAAGAGATTTAGAGGCTCCTCAATATGTAGTAACTATAGTCCCCCAGAAGTCTCCGATTTTTTGCCTTTTCTTCTTCACCTCCCCATCCCTCACAGGACGGTATGGAATTTTTGCAAAATAATATAAATGGACTGTGTATAAACAAGTTATTGCTTTTTAAAATCCCAATCCCTGGGCCAAAGCTCCTTTAAGATATTTAAATTGCCCTAGGATTTGTTGGCTTTTACTTTCCTATAAAAGACTTCTTTCTAAACCTGTATCAACAATCATGCTGATTGACCTACCTTGTCCTCAATTCATTGCTACAGAAAAGGGGAGGATGTAGTTGCTATTGTCTGTCTCTGACTTCATGACTAGAGGGAATCCGGCAGATCCTAGACCGCTAGACCTGATGGGCAACATTATTGCCTTCATCACAGTCTTCTGCCACTCCTCCTTCTCCTCCTCCTCCTCCTGTTTTTCCTACTACTACTACTACTACTTCTCCTCCTCCTCCTCCTCCTCCTCCTCCTCCTCCTCCTCCTCCTCCTCCTCCTCCTCCTCCTCCTCCTCCTTTAAAAAATCATTGAATGTGGTGGCAGATGGGTGTCTCAATGAAACCAAAAGCATGTGACAAGCTAGCAGTGCCATGCCACCCTTGTGATGCATTCAGTCTTGGTCCTTGTGGTGCGGGAGATGCTTCATCCTCACCCCATGTTCCAGGATTCTCTCTGGTTTCTTGATAGTTGATAGTTGTTCCTGGGGGAGGGGGAGTGAAGTCAGGAACAGCCTACGTCACCATGTTAGTCATGTCATTCCCTAGAGATAATTTTTAAATTTTAATCTTTCATTTCACCAACAATGAGAGAAATTATATAGTAAAGTAGGAGATAGATGAAGAAGGAGGTGGCTAGCCACAAAGTACAGATTTATAGAAACATTTTTAAAAAGTAAAAAAAAAAAACCCTTTAATGTTTACTCCCTAGTTATTTCTGTTTTTTTAATTACAATTTATTTATTATATTATTACATAAGACTTGAGGGTTTATAACTTTTGAACATAAAATTAAGATAATCGTCTCCTTGGGAAAAGAATGGCAGAGAATCAAATTCAGAAGTAAATTTGTGAATAGAAAACTATTGCTTTAATTCAAACTCACTTTTCCTCTTTTTCTGTCAATCCACCCCACCCCCTACTAAGTCTAATCCTAATAATTAAAATTGTTAATTAAATTTACAGGATGTGATGTGAGGTATCAAAGTTTTCTGGAAGTTAAAACAATGCTTATGTTGGTTCTTCATTTTTTATGGTAGGCAGCAGGTTTTTGTTTTTGTTTTGATAACGCTTTACATTTCCTCAAGTTCACTTCTTGAAAAATAAGGATAACTGTTGAGGTCTCATTAGATTAGAAGACATAGTAAGTCACTCCTTAGCTATTTCTTCTCTTGCCAAATGAGGAGTAATTCCAAGCAAATGAAAGCACTGCCAAGAAATTACCCAACTGCACTGGTCAGCCTCTTACTGTTGCTACAGGAGACCCAGTGCACAAAATTAGTGCATGGTGGGATCCCTAGGCCTGGGC